TTCCCTTGGTTACGGGCAAATGTAACAGAAAGGAAACATAGATCAGTAAACGAAGTGTTTTGTTTATTAAGCTTTGTACGTTACACGGGTGCCCTTGATTGTTGGTTTTTATTGGTGGTCAGAAGACCAACCACAGTGACGGAGGATTGCGCCATCACCTCGTGGAAACAGTAGCGATGACTTGCGTGACGCGGAGACAGACTTGAGTGTCCTGTCGCCTAAGGCGCAGATGATTTTCAAGAGGTTTAGCGAAGACCTCACGACTCATTTGGAGATCGACAGAGCAGAGTATGCAGGAGGCCCGCTCCTCGAATTCGTAGACGTTCTGGTGAGGCTGGATGAACTCCTTCAGGACATATCTGCATTGACGATGCAAATCCCAACCTGAATAGACAACAATGCTTCTCGTTTCAGAACTGGAATGGAGAAGGACGCAAAGAAGAATTTGCAAGGCAACTCTACTGACAGCTTTGTCCATGTCCAATTCAATTGACATAACTTCTCTATGTTGATGGTCATTTCTCTATTCTTGTAAGGATCACTTTCAGTCAATGAATTCTGCAATTTTATGTGCGTGTTATGACCTTTAGTTAATGCCTGGTTCCATTGCATCCATTTTGGTAGAGCTTGATGTGCGTCGAGGGTCTAATAAACACGGCAGTTCCACCAGCTGGATCTACTTTAGAAGAAGAAAAAACAGAAAAGAATAATTTGTAATCTGTCAGAAATATCACAATTGGGAGGTTGTTATTTCGATCGCAGACGCGCGCTCACTTTCAAATAGTCGATTAAATCACGATTTCGCCAGGTCTCGTTTTTAAAATTAAGTGTAAATTCGCAGGATTGAATGAAAGTACTAAACACAACCTACTTATGAGAGGCGAGTAAAAAGGAAAAATGCGATTTGGCTATTGAGTCACCGAACGTGGTTCGTGTTTCGTGATAAGCATGCAACCATCCAATCACTCGACTTCGTATGACAGGAATTGCATTCAATCTTAAACGAGTGGCTGCTACATAGAAGTCTTTTACTATGGATATGCTACCTGATCGGATAGCCGTAAGAACTGATCTCGTAGGATAGGCCCCCTACCAGTTTGCCTGATGTGGACACACTCATGCACATGTCCTCTGCAATTCGACTAAAATATGCACGAATTCGTATACGCTATTCTTGTCATTGATGCAAATGAAATTGTGCACTACCAGTCAACAAAGTGAAACAAACAGTAACAGGTGTTATTAGATGAGGCCAAGAGTTAGTACAATTACGTAAAGAGATTACGTTGCCGCTAACTAGTTTGATCGGGACGTGACACAACTCATGTGACCGCAGGTCGGTGAAGTTACGTTAACCAACAAGACCGGCGTCGACACAACCGCACATTCCACTTTGTGTGTTGGTCACTGACACGAGGTGCAGTCCAGTGACGATGAGGACGACTGTCAGTGAAGTCAGGGCAAATCGGCCTCACCACAGCCACCATCTACTTACGCACTTCACCCACAGCCACCAAGGCCGTCTAATGCAAGTAGCCAGTAGTTAAATGTAGCGCGGATGCCCTGTCATTTCACTCAATCCGTGGTCATGCATCAAATACCAGCCGCGTATTCTTCTGCTCGCTTTGTTCAAGCCGGTCACCTGGAGGATGATCTACAGAGCCAAATCCACGTGATTGACAGTATCGCGATTTTAGAGGTAGAACGGAAAATAAATTAATGCATAAAATTGTTCATTAGAATGTACACGCAGCGTATCCACTGAAAGCATGTTCACCCCAGTCATGTAAGCCGATGTCGAATTTGTGTCTGCATAGCGTCAATATAGCCCCTCAGACTAGACACCCTAACCATGGAAACCAATACCGATTTAGTTGGCGTGAGCAAGTGCACTCAGGCACAATGCGCTACAAGCCAGACGTCTGGGTTCTGTGCAGTCATCATGTAGGTGAGTCTGCTTGTGCACTAGTCCTTTGTTTGGGAAATGGTATTTTAACTATTTCTTTATTCAACCGCCTAAAACACGATAATTCAGTGAAACAACGCTACAAAGACACTCTGTGGATATATTTGCAATACCAAACAGATTTAGGCTAGATCTTTGGTAAGAATCGGCGTCTTGCACAGCACCAACGATTACCCATCCTCAAGATTCGTCGGCGCATTCGCTCACCTGGTGTGGCTGACACCAATTGTGGCAGCTTGACAAAGACACGTAATCCTCCTGACTAAACGCGCAGCATATTCTCGTTCTCCTCTATTACTTTTTAGATTTGTTACTAGTTTAGAGGAAACTCACGTAGGCAGTGTTGAGTTCTGCGCATCGTCGTCACAACCAACGTCAACGCCGAATTACTCCTGGAAGTCCATACAGGCTCAGCAGAAGACCCACGAATGCAGAGAGCTGACTGTCTACGTAGTCTGCTGTGTGGGTCTCCGAAGGAAGCTTGAAAATCTTTGCTGAATCTGTTGGCAATGACCTGAGCCTGATTAGACAGGAGAGTCGAATGTGGCTCTGCATCAATCAAGTCATTGCAGCTGTTTTCCATGGGATGATGGCGAAATCCGCAGTCACCGTCGTTGGACTTCCGGCCACCTTCAGTGCAAACGACTGACATGAGAATAACCCTGCAACGTTGGAATAGGCATTGTTGTGAATGGAATGAGTTCAACAGAGTGCCAGACAAGCTGATGGTTTGGCGACATGCATTGTGTTCCAATGTGAAGATCACGTGTCAGACAGCAGATTAGACAACTGTCAGACAGCTCTTTAGGCCACCAATGGATACACCAATAACTCAGCACTTGTTTAGCAATCAGGTTAGGCAGCATTAACACCACAGTACGATCCATAACGTGGGATATTACAACAACTGCAGTATCACTAAATAACTGACGCCAATTGGTCTGTAACAATTCTGAAAGTGCTTTTTATTTATGAAATTTTATAAATGAGCTTAAAGAGAGTCGTGAAACGCAAATTCCCTCTTCTTGAATTGAATGAGATGTGTCATATATTACGTGGCTAAACAATGGACACAAAAATTGAATATGCAAACAAATGTAGAAGCCTTGATCATTGATTGAGAGCGATTTTGAGCAGAGTGCGTTGATGGCTTGGCTGCTGGACAAACATATGAGAGGATCAGGGGGGTTGGTTGCAGGCGAGTTTATTGTGCACAAATATTAAATCCATCAAATAGCAACACGT